TTCGGTCTAAGGCCCTTCGTCGTGAAGTAAATAGCCATTAATCCTTGTATTTTTCAGGTAGTTGTCTCCCTATCGATCCACAGCTTTCTCATTTCAAAACAGCTTTCTCATTTCAAAACAGCTTTCTCAATTCGGTTAAAAGAACATCAATCAGCTTTAGCCGCACATGTATGTTACACCAAGCACGAGATTGCGTGGGAAAACTCTAAAGTAATTACCACTAACAATCGCTACGGTCAAAGACTTTGCCTAGAAGCGTGGCATATAAATATGAGTAATATATCATGCTTTGAATAGGGATGACGGTGCCTATTTGCCAGAGGAATGTATGCATCTCATTGGCAGGTGACGTCATCCCTTGGGTATTTAAGAAGCCACGATTGCAATTTTAGATCACCCCTGGTGAAGACACTAGACTGGAGTGTCGAAACGTTGGGTCTTGATTACAATTCGACTGGGCTTTGTAATCATTTATTTAAACCAGAGTAGCGAGCGAAACATGATTGATATACCTGGTTGCAGTGAGCGAACAAACTTTAAATCTATACGAGAAAAATATGGTCAAAATGTTGTTTCGAGGCTTTGAAAGCTCATCAACATGAAGATTCGTATTGCCAAATATCGTAGTCATTTGTATTTAAATCATCGGTCCAAGGAAAACAAAGTTTTACTGTTCAGCTTGCGATTCAAACCTCCAATACGGAGTAAAAAGGGATACAAGCTAATGGAAAATACTGGTTTTTCTTTCCTGAGGTTGCGTATAAACGATTGTCATCAGTCTATACAGCGTCTGCGCTCTGATTGTCAACGTTTACTCGGCGAGTATTCTGATTTGATCGTCTGCTCTGAAGTCCTATGGATCGAAGAGTTTTGTCGTTCGCAATTTCGCAAAGAATCGATCAAACAGAGAGAGAAGCATGACAAAAATTGCTACGTCTGATTGGAACGAAACCATCTGATAAATCGAGTTCGAATCTTAAGAAGAGATGGGTTAAAAACCTCTCATCTAAAGAGCTAAGTGAGTTGGAAAGGAAGGGTCTTGAACGCGGCCTAAAATTTTCGGTTGTACCTAACAGAATTCCAACAGCCGAAATCATTGCTTCAGTTGAAGAAGGAATTTTTCCACTAGAGGATGATGCTAAGCGATTGGTAAGAGCTGAGGTCAGTAGCATTCTTAGACGTGCCAAAATACCTCCAAAAACATTGATTCGAATGTTTTCATTCGTTTCAATACCTCCAAAAACATTGATTCGAATGTTTGCTCTTAAAAAAGATCCGGACGGGGTTATTCTTTCAGCGGACAAAGGCAATTGTGTTGTTGTTATGGACAAACATGATTATCGCGAGAAGGCTCATTCACTGTTGAATAACAGAAATACGTATTCTATTCTCAAGTCTGATCCTACTGGAAAGGCTCAAAGAGGTTTAAACGCCAAGTTACTTCTTTTGAAGAAATCTAATATTATCAGCAAGGCTACATATGAATAGTTATACAGCAGTGATGGTCTATCTCCGCGTTTCTATGGTTAATTACCGAAAATCCATAAACCGGATATTCCATTGAGACCTATTGTGTCTTTGCGAATTCTCCTACATATGGAGTTTCAAGATTTTTTGGCGAAAATTTTGTTCCCTGTGGTGGGGAATACCGAAAACACTGTCAAAAATTCCCGTCATTTTCCAGAATTTGTAAGAGGTAAAACTCTTAAAGCAGATCAAGTGTTGGTATCATTTGATGTCGTTTCCTTGTTTACAAACATCCTAGTTGATCTTGCCATCAAGGTTGCGACAAAAAGACTAAGACAGGATGCCACTTTGTTACAAAGAACATACTTGCCTGTAGAAGATATTATTGATCTTCTGTCTTTTTGTTTCAACGCCACATACTTTGTGTTTGAGGGCTGTTATTATCAACAGGTTTTTGGAACAGCGATGGGGTCACCAGTATGGGCAATAATTGCTAATTTAGTAATGGAAGATGTCGAACAAAGAGCTTTAGCCTCTGTTCCGGTAGCTCTATCGTTTTGGAAACGTTTCATCGATGATGTCATCTCTGCGGTTTCTAGAAATAAAATCGATATTCTGCTGCAACATTTAAATTCTATTGAGCCGTCCACCCAATTCACGGTAGAACGTGAGATAAATGGACATTTATCTTTTTTAGATTTGAATGTGCACAGAACTGTCGAAGGGAAGTTAGAGACTGATGTTTATCGCAAACCCACACACACAGACAAATACTTGTCATACGACTCTCATCACCCAGTAAGCCATAAACGATCCGTAGCAAGAACTTTGCCTCAAAGAGCTGAATCCTTGCCGTCAAACAGTGATTCTCAAGCTAATGAACGTGAATATGTTCTAATATTTTAGGGGAAAACGATTACCCAAACCGTTTTCTTAGTGATTGCCTGAGATCACCTGTTTGTAGGAACCAAAATAACTCCGAGGGTGATACCTCTGTTAAGGGTTATGCAACAGTTCCATTCATTCAAGGTGTGACACAGAACCAATCAAGAGAATCTTAAGTAATTGTAATATTAAGGTTGCTTTAAAACCCTATTTGACATTAGGCCATATTTTCGCAAAGCCAAAAGATCCTGTTAAAACAAATCAGAAAACTCATGCTGTATATTCTATACCATGCGGTGACTGCGAGAAAGAGTATTTGGGTCAGTCTAAACGCCAGTTTGGTACACGGTTAAAACAACATCAAAAGGCTGTTTCAACTTTAGACAAGGGAAAATCAGCTTTAGCCGAACATGTATGTTACACCAAACACGAGATTGCGTGGGAAAACTCTAAAGTAATTATCACTAACAATCGCTATGGTCAAAGACTTTGCCTAGAAGCGTGGCATATAAATATGAGTAATCATGCTTTGAATAGGGATGACGGTGCCTATTTGCCAGAGGAATGTATGCATCTCATTGGCAGGTGACGTCATCCCTTGGGTATTTAAGAAGCCACGATTGCAATTTTACATCACCCCTGATGAAGACACTAGACTGGAGTGTCGAAACGTTAGGTCTTGATTCCAATTCGACTGGGCTTTGTAATCATTTATTTATAACAGAGTAGCGAGCGAAACATGATTTCAAAACTAGTTTCGTATTATTCAGACATTGCAGAGAACACTTTTCGTTGTATACTCTGAAGGGTCAGAATATCATGGAACTAGTTTTTTCTTATCTTTGAGGATGGTTCTGAAATGGAATTGTTCATCAGTATCTGGTCTTGCTTTAAACGTACAGTCGAACAACTCTTTTTGGCAGCTCTTGTGGAACGGAAATGAGAATTTGTACTCGTATGACATCGTACGTAAATTGCATACGTGTTTTTTGTAATACATACAACATATATACCATTGAATGAAACAAATTATTATGCAGACACCTGAGAGGTTGTACGTCTTTACGCAACACGCAAGTTAAGCAGAATCATAAGTATATTTACGTCGATTCATGTCATAAAGCTGGAGTAGTATACTATTCATATTCCAAAGAGAATTTTCACTCGGCGTCGTAGAAATTACGCAGGCATGCATCCATTTTATATGGGAAATATTACCAGTCATAGTGAAGACAGAAGTAATGCATGACCTCTGATCATATGATGTCATATTTCCAAGTATTTGTTGCATTATTGTTATTTAAATTATTATTTTTGTTTTATAGTATTATTATCTTTTTTATTTTTTTGCATTTTCAAGGTTTTATTATTGCAAAATACCAAAATCAGACCACAACGAAGGCGGAAGTGTTTCAAAACTTCATCTGTTTCTTGGTTTCGATGTATTTTGCTTCACAATGTAAGATAAACCTTACAAAGAAATATCATTGGTATATATTCTTACAATGGAAAGCAGAGCAACGTATTGTCAGCAGTAAATAATGGCCTGTTGCCCGACACTCGACAGAAGGGAAATATGGCTACGATGTCAAGCAGGTTTCAGAAAGATGTCGACGAAAATTTTCATTCCTCGATCTGCTACAATGTTCTTAAAGAATCAAGGATGTGTAGAAATAATGAAAACATCTTTTGTCTTGCATGCATTAGTGAACATCTGAAAGTAAATTCCCAAACTTGCCCCGAATGCAATGAACATTTGAGTACTTCGTCGGCCCCGTGTGTTGAATAACATTTTGTCTATAAAACTGAAGATTAATTGTGATTATGTCAATCGATTCGAGGATGTCCTGAGTTAAACTGTGTTGCAGATATCGACACGCACGTTGTCTATTGTGGCAAATGCAGAGTGTGGTATGGAGATTAATAAAAGTGACAAGGTCTACTAGGATCAGACTGACGTTCGTGAATATAGGAGAGTGAAATTAGTCATGATTGTGGACAGATACAGGAAGTTGTAGGACGATTGGAAGGACGTTTGATGGAACTTGTAATGTATGCAGATGCTGCAAAGCATCCTGGGAGTAAATACAAATTGTCTTGATTACATAACATGGCGTGTGTCCCATAAAACATAACATGGTGTCAGGAGAAATCCACTAAATAGAGCTTGAAAAGATAGCCATCCGATTAAAAAAACACATAGAAATACAAGGAATAAAGGTCCGACAACAACTGTAAACGGAAACGGGAGGGTTTCCAGCCTCAAATACGCCAAAAATGAACTGGTCGAGCTGTAACTTGACAGCAGCATGGAAATCGTTTTAACAACATTGTGAATTTGCTTTTGGTGGGCCACTAAAAGGCAAATCGATATCCGAAGAACAAAGATGCAATTATCTGATGATATGGGTTGGAGAGAAAGCCCAAAATGTATATAATACCTGAAATTTAACAGACAAAAAATCGAAAAAGCTCAGTACTTACTACGAAAGATTCGAAGCGTATGTAACGCCCAAATCAAATAATATTAATTTTTTGCTCTTTACAAGTTTCATAATATAGTGCAGCAAGAAAAGGAGCCATTCGAACAATTGTTGTCTAAACTCAAGATCGAAGTTAAAGATTGTGGATACAAAGACCCAGACGAAATGGTTCGAGATCGAGTAGTAATCGGTTGTTATTCGCAAAAAGTACGAGAGAAATTAATACAAGAAGGATCTGGACTAACCTTAGAAAAAGCAGTTGATATTGCTGGAACACAAGAAATGTCAAACACCCAGCTTCAAAGTATGGCACCTGAAGATAACAATGTACACAGCCTCAGAGACGAACGAGAGAGAAAACTTCCATATAAATATGACAAACGACAAAAAGGCCCAAACACCAGAGACGGGTATACTTATAAACAACACTGCAGCAAATGTGGTATAAAACATGACCAAAATAAATGTCCAGCTGAAGGAAAGACATGTACAAAATGCAAAAAGCTTAAAAATTAACCATTTTGCAAGAATGTGCAAATCGAAGTTCAAAGTCAAGGAAAGAAAAAGGCAAGAACATGGAGTTGAAGAAGAGGAGTCTGAAGAGAGTGACAGTGAACTATATGTTGGTTCTGTGGGAATTACAGATGTCATAAGCAAGAATGAATGGTATGAAGATGTAAAAATTGCGGAAAAAAAACAATAAATGTTCAGCTCGGTATAGGTGCAAGGTGTAATGTAATTTCCATCAAAGATCTTGAACGTCTTGGAATCAACACAAATATAAAGAAACCAGAAGCACAACTCAATTCATACTCTGGCCATGTCATCACCGCGAAAGAAGTCACTATTTTACCATGTGAGTACAAAAGAAAAACATACCAAGTAAAGTTCCATGTTGTTGATATTCCAGCGCCACCAGTATTCAGTGCCAACACATACAAATAAATTGGCCTAGTAGAAAGAGTACGTGCAGTGGAGACCTCGAAGTCACAATATCATCACAATGCAGATCCATTCTCGCCCCCAAAATTCAATCCAACCCAACAACATGAACTGTTGAAAGGATACGATGAGTTGTTTACTGGTCTTGGATGTTTGCCTGGTGAACATACCATTGAAATTGATCGTTCATAAACCCCTGTTGTCCACCCATGACCAAGGAGAGTCCCGTTAGCCCTGAAACAGCGCGCAGATCAAAGAAGAATTACAGAGGATGGAAGATGCTGGTGTTATCGTCAAGCGAACAGAACCCACAGATTGGGTCAACAGCATGGTTACAGTGATAAAACCCGAGAAAATCCGAGTGTGTATTGATCCAAGAGATCTTAATTGAGCAATAAAAAGAGAACATTATCCAATGAAAACGATTGAAGAAGTTGTTGCTGGAATGCCAGAAGCAAACGTGTTCTCCGTCGTAGACGCCACCCCAGGATATTGGCAAATTAAATTGAATGAAGAGAGTTCCAAGCTATGCACTTTCAACTCACCGTTTGGGAGATACCGCTTCACACGACTACCATTCGGAATTAAATCGGCCCCAGAGGTTTTCTAAAAGAAAATGTCACAGGTGTTGGAAGACATTGATATATGGTGCTGAAGCAATAGTAGATGACATCCTGGTGTGGGGAAAAGATATGCAGGAACATGATGCAAGGTTGAAGAAAGTCCTCGACCGAGTCCAAGAAGTCAACCTAAAGCTAAACCAGAAGAAGTGCCAAATCAGAAAAGAAGAAATTGCGTATGTTGGACATCTTCTAACCAAGGACGATCTTAAGCCAGATCCGAGAAAATAAGAGCTGAACAAGCCATGGCCAAACCATCCAACACGAAAGAGTTAAAAACATTTCTTGGGTTTATTCAATATCTCGCAAAGTTTTTACCCAATATGGACGAAGTCAGTGCACCACTTCGAAAGTTGTTGGAAAAGAACACAGCATGGCATTGTGATAAGCAACAAGAAGATAGCTTTCAACAACTCAAGAGAATGGCAACCAGTGCCCCAGTGCTAAGTTATTACGATCCCAAGAAGCCTGTTACCTTATCTGTAGATGCCAGTTCGAAAGGACTTGGAGTAGTGCTTTATCAAGAAGAAAAACCAGTTGCATATGAGCGTTAACACCAACACAGCAAAAATATGCACAAATCGAGAAAGAGACTTTGGCTATTGTATTTGGTACAACCAAGTTTCACCAGTTCCTGTTTGGAAAAGAAGTACTTGTCACATCAGACCACAAACCACTTGAATATATATTCAATAAGCCTCTGCACCAAGCACCACTTCGTCTACAGAAGATGCTGTTAGCCCTGCAAAGATATGAGTTAATAATTGTCTGCAAGCCTGGCAAAGAGTTGTTCATTGCTGATGCCCTAAGCAGAAATTACCTAGAAGAGACGAAAGAAAAACTGGTACAAGAACTCGAAGTAAATGAAATCCACCTGTCCTTACAGCCCACGTACCAATATCACCTGAAAAGTTCCAAGAATTCCGGAAAGCCACTGCTGATGATGTTGTAATGCAAGCAGTACAAGATCGTATGTCATTGAAAATGAAGACAAAAGTATCGAAGAAACCACCGTCACCTGCGTTCCAATAAACAATCAGAGAAAGAACAGAGGCGTGAAGTTAAACATTCAAACACCAAACAGCCGAGCGTGAGCAGTGACAAAGCAAGAGCCACCGCCAAGAATGCAATTGGACAGTCCAGTCATGGTATCATCGACTCGCAACACAATCCTGTAATAACAAGATCTGGATGTGCAAGTAAGCCACCGGAGTACTTAATAAACAATTAAAAAAAAAGGTAACTATATCTTTAAATCTATATAACTATAACTATATCTATATCATAACTAGTGACAGTTAATAATTTGCGAACAGTTAAAAACAAAAAACTGAATAGCTATAAGTTTAGTTGATACTTATGTCGTTGATTAATATTAGCAAGTTTATTATAAGAAAGGGAGATGTAATGTATGCAGATGCTGCAAAGCATCCTGGGAGTAAATACATATTGTCTTGATTACATAACATGGCGTGTGACCCATAAAACATAACAGAACTGTATGGGAAAGTGGAAGCAGTGAAAGAAATGGACAAGGTGATAAATAAATGAGAAAGTAGAAGCTGTAAGGGAAGAAATGAAGGACAATAAATACTAAAGTAGTGAAAGAAATAAAAGATGCGAAAGAAAATCTTTCCAAAGTGAACAAAGACGTGGACGAAGTGAAAGTCATGATGAGTCAAAATGTTAGCGAAGTTTAATATGCTTGAACTGCTCAGCAAACTGCCATCTCCGACCGAGGGAATGTTCAATACACCTAGGGAAGATATTTTGATTGCTGGTGGCTGCCGTTTGTGTACGCAACATAGTGCAGAAATATTTTCCTAGGAGAAATATGGTTGGTATGAGATCTCGCAAATGAATAAAGGACATACGGCAGCTTCATCATTTAATTATAATGATCAACTATTTGTTGTTGGGGGATTTACTAAGACAATAGATACCTTGGATCTCAATGAATTACCTTTGAAATGGATGGAATTTTCTTTCGAATTTCCTTATGTGTCCCTTATGAAGGTGATGATCATCAAACTGTTGTTTACGAACAGCGTATCATTCACGTTGGTGGATATAATTATGACAAGGATAAAAAGTCTAACGTGATTAGTGAATTGCAACTTACCTTACCTTGCATACTGAAAAAGTAGTGCCAAATGCCCCAGCCACGAGATAGTCATGGCGCTGAAGCTTTTAAAGATAAAGTCTTGATCTTGGGAGGACAAGATGACAATGATGTTTTAGACAGTGTGTTGGAATTTGATCCAGAGAAGAATGAATGTAAGGAGCCACCATCATTATCACATCCCATGCACTACATGCAGGAAATGGCCACAGTTCGCTGGAGAGATCAAGTAGTTTTATTTGGAGGTCGTGTTAAGGATGATCAAGTTCTGAACGATGTTTTTATGTATGACTGCAAGACGGGCAAGATCACAGCCTTACCATCTATGTTGGAGAAGAGATATGATTGTTGTGCAGTTATTACTGGAAATACAATTGTAGTCATGGGAGGTGAGAATGATGATGATCTCAGATATGTGGAGTATTTTACAATGGAAAGTTTTACATGGTAGTATCTTCCCAACATGAACGAAGAAAGACCCAGAGCAGTTTCTGAAGTTCTACCCTCAACAAGGAAAAATGTGTAATTTTCACATTTAACGTTTCTCCGCAAACTTATATGAGATCGTTTTGTGCAGAGGTAAAATTCCACGCATTGCTCTACCTAAGCTGGGATTTCTGATTCTCTGACTGAGGGTAAAGTAATACGAATAACAAAGTTTCTCCAAGCAACATGCAAAAGCTGATTCCAAGTTACGCCATGTTATGATCAAAATGTTCTTGTATATTTTCTTGTCCCATTTAGCAATAAAGTTATGCCCAAACAATTTCTTTAAACCAGTCTTTGTTGCAGTTGAAGCCATTGTGTTGTTCATTGCTATGTACCTTGACTCAAACAAACGACAGTACTGGAAATTTATAATGCAATTAATTTAAAGTAAAAAACTACTAGCAATATAAATTTACCGTTGTTAGAAGTAAAAACACAGGGAGCCGGCCATCCCGGGTCTGATTGAAGTTATGTATTAGAATTACGTATGAAATATATACCTTAGTGTTGAAGCCTGCGACTTGCGGGCTGTGTGCGGGCTAATGCGCGCGTTGAATACAGATAACACAGCCCGCAAATCGCGGTGAAGGCTATTTCAGATACGGTACAGCACCTAGTCCCCAGGTCTTTCCCGGCGCGACCGCGAAATTCAATATGGCGCCAAGCTTAGGTGTGGAGTTTTATAATTAATGCAGTTTATATTCTGTATTTTCTATTGTTGTTTTTTGACGTTTTTCTTCTTTTTGGTTGATAGAACTTATATTCTGAAATGCCAGGTATCTTACTCTTTTAATATCTGAAAAAAGATTTTATGACAGAATTTTTCTCAAACATAGTTAAAGTTAATGTAGATTGATATCTGTATGTTTTTATTGTTTTTTATGCGTTCGGCACATGAGAAGCGCTACGTTTGAAACAGGCCTTAAAAGGTATGTTTCAAACGTCGCGCTTCTCATGTGCCGAACGCATTAAAAACAATAGGTAATCAGCGCTGAAATGCCTTATTATCTATTGGCCAAGGTAAGAAATTTTTGACACTGAACTTTTGTTAATTATAGTTTGAACTTCAATTTTGAAAATTGTAATAACAGCCGGCCTAGTTTATATTCCATAATCCACAGAGCATGAATATCCATGCGGAATGTACAAATTATTGACTTTTCGAGTAAAGTTCTGCTTGAATTTTTCAGGTAGTTCTATCTCCCGAAATCTGCAGTTATCTTGTTATCGTCTCTATCTAGCCTGGCACAGACCGTTCAAGATTATACTGTTAACTGTTTAATTATCACGAAAGCAGTCATGGGGGCAGGGTTTCAGCATGATCTGGTAGGGGAGGGGGGGGGCTGATCTGCTAGCTCTAATGCCGAGTTATGTTGGTTATGTCCGCCGCCCGCTCGTCAACGTGCAAGTCAAGTCTTTGCTTCACTACTGTATTTGAATTTGAATTGTTGTTCACAGTTCGCTTATCATGTTATCACTCAAATTACTGTATCTCATTTTGTCTCTAATATTTTTTTTTGCTTTATCATGAAAAATAGCACACCCCCCCCCCGTGGCCAGGGCTAGGGGAGTGTGCGCACATTCCGCCGTAAATCCATCCCAGTATACCCTAAACACGACATGGAATCAAATACCACCAATATTCAAACCTCTGAGAGCTCACCTCAATCTACAGAAGTGCCAGAAATCTTTGATAGCTCTTCCTCTGGCCCTATCACATCACAAGAACATGTGGTCGAAATACCTATTACCAATCAGTATTCTGTTCTAGAGGACGAAGCACAGGAGAACAACAACAAAAAATAAAGAAAACTTGAACAGTAAAAAGAATAAATTTCCCACAAAATTGAAAAATCATTGTATCCTCTCTCCTCCCTGTTTGGACAAGCTACATCAGAATGTGGGCATCGTGAATCAACTAATTAAGGTTAAACTCTTAAAGAAAGCTAATGTCCATTTTGTCACCCACAATAACCTTTTCCCCTCCAATACTCACCTACGTGACAATAAACACCTGAATAGAGCAGGATTTCTTATTTTTGCAAGAAACCATTTCTTATTTTTGCATCTCAACCACCTGGATTCACATCCACCTTTCTGCCACGAATAATACCCCCGCTTGGTTTCATGCCACCCTTTCTCCCTTCTCCTACCACCTCCACCTCATCTGTGTTTTTCGGCAATGTCCGCAAGTTGGGATGTGTATAATGAATATAGTAGTGGACCCAATATTGATCCTTGTGGTACACCTTGAGATAACTTAGATTTACGTGATGAAAAGCCCTCCACTTTCACCGCAAATTGTATCCGATCTGACAAATTGTATCCGATCCATTCCAGAATTATACCGGAAATTCCATAACGAGTTGACAATCTTGAAAGGAGTATGTTGTGATCAACAGTGTCAAATTAAGCTGCAGATAGATCAAGTGGGACAAGGATAACTGATTTTCCGGCGTCGATAGCCCGAGAAATATCATTATGGACTTTAAGTAGTGCAGTCTCAGTACTATGAAATGCTCTGTACGCAGATTCATAAAGTTCATATAATCCATTGCTTCGAGACTACTTTTTCGACAACTTTCGACAAAAAGGCAAGGTTTGAAATTGGTCGAATAAAATGAAGGTTAGAGTTTTTCAAAATAGGTTTTAGCATAGCTTCTTTAAGGGATAGAAAAAACCCCATTTGTAGTGATATATTTACAATATCAAGTACTACAGGATTCAGTACACGAAGCGATTTTTGCAACAACTGAGCTGGTAGTGAATAAAGATGATACGATTTCTTAGCAATTTGAAAGGTTATCGGAAGTAGTTCATCAGACGTAACCACATCAAACTGCTCCAATTTACAAGATGACAGTGGCACATCAGGAATGCAAGTTTGGTGCGACTGAGCGAATTGCATTAGATCTTTATATATTTTATTAATTTTGTCCTCAAAGAAAGTCACGAAATTGTTAGCTAGATTCTCACCAGATTGGCACACAGGATATTGGGGATCAGGGGCATGATGTAATAACTTTCCAACTATTTAAATAATTTCCTTTGGTCATTCGCATTATCTGTAACAATTTCAGAGTAGTAACAAGTAGGACTTTCCGATAATAGTTCACTGACACTACGACATTGCTGACTGTATTTTAGACGATCACAGGGTTGTCTCGACTTACACCATACCCGGTCCAATTTCTTTCTGATACGTTTTTCGCTTTTAATTTGTTCCGTGTACCACGGCGCAGCTGCACATGGACGAATAATTATCTCTCTATTGATAAGTGCTGCATGATGGTCAAGAATTCTAGACAGCTCCGAATTGTATTGGTTGACTTTCGCACTTATATCACTTGTGTTCTCAGTGATAATCGGAGATAGCCTAATGTCATTAATTAACGAATGAGTCTATGTTGATTGCTTTAATTTTACGTGACTTCACGACTCTTTTCTGAAACGATGGTTTTTTAAAATTTAGTTTACAAGTAACCGTGTAATGGTTAGATATAGATGGATCATGAACTTCAATAGATTGTACAATATTTTCCTCATGGCGAGACAAATAAGATCTAACGTGTGACGAGCAGAATGTGTTGGTTGTTGTACATGTTGCTCCAGATTAAAAGATTCAACAAGGTTGAGAATTTTTTTGGTTGTTAATTCAGAGTTATCGTCAACATGAACATTAAAATCTCCAGCTATCATCAGTGACACCTGTCTAGTCGCATAGACCTCAAAAAGTGATGTAAACTCTTCCATCAGCATCAGTGCAAGATACAGTGGCTAACTCCAAACAACAGTTTTCAACTTAGGGAAAGTACATTTATTACACCGAGGGGGGGGGATGAAGATGTCTTGAAAAAAGCTCATATTTTTACAGGGCCCCTGTTGAGGTTATCGGTAAATTTCGATGCCCCCCCTCCAAGTTTTTAAAATTTTCAATGCCCCCCCCCTCTAGAATTCGGAATCGAAGGAGTACAATCCGGAATTCTCTCTTATCATGGATACAATTTGCAGTTCCTCAAGATGTCTGATATACTCAAGCATGTGCTTCTCCTCAACAAAACTACCGATCTGCTGCTTCTTTCACCTCACTAGCACCAGATGAAATGGCACCGTCTTTAAAACATTTTAAATTGGCTCTTAGGGGTGAAATTATCAACAGGTTGTTGTTGTCCATCATTCAGTGTATTCGGAGTCTTGAACACGTTCATGTAGTGGCCAGGATTTCCTGGATCAGGGTAATGTGTTGGAACCTTACAGTATGTCGCCCCCACCCAAGTGTCTCCCGGCATCTGTTGCAAATGTCTTTGTATGCCTGTCAAAAATGCATGCAAAAGTGCCATTATGCTTCAATTTCTTTAATTTCCATCCCGTTTGTACGAATTATCCCATAAACATAGAACACATCATTCTTGCAAATCGTATATGCTTTTTTGTTTTTGGAACTGCTACTTTTTGGCGCGTAAGTTACTTCACAAACCTGGCGCCAAAAAATTTAAAATTAGCTATAGGTGATTTCATGTATCCATTTAGAAGAGCAGACTAAGGATATCTTAAAACTGAAATCGGTTTCGAATACAACCATCAGGGACGTAGCAAAGCATCTGACGTTTGGGGCGGGGGGTGTCAGAGGATCATACGTATTGGCACTCTCATACTAAGTTTTCGCAAACAAATTACATGTAAATTGACTGTATTTTACAAAAATGGTTATCATTTCACAAAAATAATTACTTTATTACGCGAATTTTACCTGAAAATGTAAAAATTTTGACTTTAATTTACTGGGGTCAAACCTTTGAAAAGTTAGAGCCCCCCCCCCCCTTCAGTATATCAAGAACTTTCAGAGCCCCCCCCTTTAATGCCAGAAAATATTTCGGAGCTCCCGCTTAACATTTTCATCCCCCCCCCCTCGGCATAATAAATGTACTTTCCCTTAATCAAAACAAATATAGAGCCTCACGAGATTTTCGAACCCAAGACCAATCTCGTTCCCAGAGTATGCCTGTTCGCGGGTTATGTAGTGTCATGCCCCTACATAACCCGCGAACAGGCATACTCTGGGAACGAGATTGACCCAAGACCATCAGTTTACGAGGCTACTGCTCTACCCCTGAGCTATCGATGCACAACAGGGATTATTAACATAAGAAATTAAGGAGCAAAAAGGAACTCTTTTTATCTAACGTTTGCGAGCTCTCTCCTTGATCACTTGAAGTGTCTAGCAGCAAACAAAGTAATATATAACTATATATGGCTTAATAAATCGGTTCCAGCCGGAACTTTTTTACAGTTCCGGTTGGATCCCTAATTTTTGAGGTCAATTCCGCGGACAAAATAAGAGATTCCGCAGCCAAAATGGCAAATTCGGCGGCCAAAATGAGAAATTCTGCGGACAAAATTCAGATGCTTTTAGGCAAAATATCAATATTTACCGCTATAAACAGTAATTGTAGGGTCATTTCAATTTAGATAGTATGGAGCAACGTACTGGGAAGGCAATTACAATACCGGCAGAAATGAGCTAATGAACCTCAAAGCCATTTTGTGCATAGTTTCCAACGATCATATTTCATATTGGCTTATAGTTGTTTTCCCATTTTTCACAATAACTCTCTTCGTAGTTCAAGCTAGATAAATTGGCTAACAAAATACTAACGCCGAGGAAGTCAATACTGGACAGATGTTTCATTAGTTCAGTGGTTAGAGCTCTAGTGGTCCTGTAAATCAGGCCCAACCTCGTCCCCAGGGCCTTTTAAAGAAAGATGCGAAGGGCAGCAAAGGCCCTGGTAAAGGCTGGATTATTTTGTCACGTGATATATCGGAGCAAATACTATACAGGGGGGTGCGATCGCGGATCGCTTTAGCTACAATATATTCGTCAATATAATGCATAAACACCGAAATCGACAAATAAAGAACAAAAATCTATTTTAAAATGAAAAAATCTGTTAAAGTTCTTCCTAAAATATTGAATAAATTTGAAATTGTCTTCAAATTAGCTCTGAGAACCTTGGTTGAACTGTAAAGGAGATCTATTAAATAGACAAAGCAACAGTGCAAAACGAATGGATCGATAGAAGTACTTTTACTATGAATTTAATACTGTCGCAAGGAAATTGCTGCCTCGATTGTGAAACAGATATGTAAAATCACTTTAATTTAATAATATGGACTCTCAATACACCATATCCATGATCATCAAAACATTTAATAGTTATTGTTGCTACAATAGATCTTTCTTACAAATGTCAATATCATACAGTATATTTAACAGTTAAAGGGGTGCAAGACCCAAAGAATGTCTGAAAAACAAAGAATGTCAACATCGTATGCACTTGGAATTTAAATGCTTATGTTAGCCATATGCCCTGAGTATAACCTGGTTGACCTCCATGGTTAATTAACATTTCCTGAATTTAATTGAGTTGAAATATTTTATTTGATTTTCATTCTTATCCCAAGAACATTGTGAACACACATATAATGCTTTGGGTTTAGATTTCAAAGGCCAAGCTTCAAAACAAATGTTGTGATCTTAATGATCAGGCATTCCCAAACAATTACAGGCATGAGGGTCAAATCAGACAGAAAGCCTCCATATGCTTTATCAAGGCTGAATAATATAATGAGATGGAATTAATTTCCTCATTATACTGTTAACAAGCTCTTGTTTTTGTTTGTAATCAGTTACACAAATTACTTCCCAGAACATTATTTAAGGAGATTATTTGACAAGTCAACAGGTACATTTCCTGAGCCACAATTGGGGCAATTCAGTGTCACTCATCACAACAGGCGCTCAAAATAATGTGTACCTCAGTAGGCAAATCAATAATCAATAATGTGTACCTCAGGAGGCAAATCAATAATCAATATTTTGCTCAGATCAACAACAAATATCAAAATTGAACTCATTCTCAAAACATGATACAATAACAAGGGGTCTCTTCTGGACAAATACAAGATACCTGATGTCAAATGTATCAAGTGACAAGATTATTCGGCATCTCTTTTAATATAAATACATTTTGCCGCCTTGTAATAAAGTACTATTTGTTGTTGGTGACCATCAGTTGAGCAATTTAAAACATTCGCAGTGTATGCTTTATCAGACCTAAAGGTACTTCGCTTCACCTCGTATCTTTATACCTGATAAAACTATAGTACATAAAATAATAACTATGATATTTAGCCTGAATATTATTATAAATGTATGAAGGATATTATACATATATTCTTGATGCTCAACATTATCCGATAATCATTTAACATGAAATCCGATAATCATTTAACTACTGAGAACTGTGTGAATTCCTGAATTACTTATTGTTACAAACTGTACTGACCTCTTGCAATTATGGTTATTAACCAAAATCTGACAATGTCTCTAGTTAACCCATTGAGCTGCAATGTGCCCCAGTGTGCCCTACTTACTGAAATTGACTGATTTGTGGTTTATGGGGTTTTTTTGTGGCAATTCTTTGGGCATCACAAGTGCATTTGTATATCTTAATACACTGTGAGAATACAAGTATTAGTATTTAAATGACACAATATGATGTAAGTTACCTTTCAGGTATATAATTTGTATACAGCATCAGTGGTGCAACTTAACTTTTTTGACCACTTGCCCTCAGGGCAAGTTGGACATGAAAATTGGTTGCCCTGAATAAAAACCACTTGCCATCAGGTACCTACGCGGGCCAGTATAAATTAGAGAGACAACATATCCACTCATTGGACTAGTGGCATTGGCTATATGTTACTGCCTCAGATCTAAACTACCTCAGATCTAGCTTTGGCTCACATATTAAACAAAATTTGAATCAAGTACACTTGTTTAATGTAACACTAATCATCATTATTTATTTTTTTATTAGTTTTACAATAAGAAATTGAAGGCACAGACAACAGGACTAATAAAGTCCCAAATTAAGTCCTGCCATAAATGAAGTCCTGCCATATTTCGTTCGGTTATCATATTATGAATAAACATTTAATAACCAAAAAGAGAATCAAATACATAATATATAACCAAACAATTTAGATGAATTTGATGCAGATGATTTGCCAGCTTGAACCAATATCTTCGAACAGCCTTTATTCTATCCGACAATAATAATATGAACTGAAAGCTGGCCAGCTTTTTGTGGCAAAGCAACTTGCCCGTTCGGGCAACCAAGAGGAAACTTTTACTTGCCCATCATGATATTCACTTGCCCCGGGCAAGTGTTAAGTTACACCTCTGAGCATAGTTGCCATTTGGCAGCTGTTGGTCTGGTTGAAGTGCTCAGATAATTTGGGGAGATCCGTGGCATGCTCTCTCAACAGTGAAGGTTCAAAAACACACATGCCGGAATGCTTATAGAATACCTCGCCATTTTTCCGCATTCATTGACACATAAATAAGTACAAGAATCACTTCAAAATAGTTTAAGGTAAAGTTTAGAGATTAAATCATATGAGTATGTTAGTTTGGTTTACAAGGAATTAATAGCGGTAAGGTGTGAAAGTTGTGGGTATTCTATAGTTGTATCAAAAAAGTGAAAAACCAAGCTAACCACAATATAATGCTTGCCACAATGTCAAAGAGCATAGTTGCTGACTAAGAAACATCTATTAGACCATGTGCAGTACTTGAGTCTTGTGATAATATCAGTGATATTGCTAATTTGTATTATACGATATACTGTAAACTTGCTGTTAACATATTATATTATTAATATTCATGGTTGTCAAATATCATAAAATCAACACACAAAATTCACACACAAAGGTTTAAAATAGTGTATATTGGTATAAACGTTTAATAAAAATGCATACATACGTAACCCATGGTCGGCATGGAATTTTGTCACTTGGCACAGTACTTTAATGTTTTTTTATGTTTGTCCCACATTAAAATATATTGAGTCAATGACAGTGCAACTGTTCATATTAAATCGTTCTAATCACATTTTACATGCACATTTGTATTCAGTAGTAATCTTTTCATAAAGGTACATCAAAGTCCCAAATCAAATTCTTCACTGACAGTAGTGACAGTATGTTATTGACTCCCAAACGACAAATATTATAAAACACGCTTCCAAGCTGAAAAGAAATATTTTATACTGTTGTCAGTCAGTGTTTAGACTCTTCTCTTTGAATCTTGATCTTCCACAAGTATTGCTGTTGATTATATTCCATATTTTTTTGAAGAACATCGCAGACTATATATTTACAGTATTTCCACTGTCAGTTGAAAAGTTTATCATCATAGTTTCAGTCTCTGGTTTCAGTCGCAAAAGGTTAACTCTATCGCCCTTTTGCACGGCCATGTTTGATAACATCAAAGCGGCCCGCACCCCCGGTTTGAAAAGTTAAATTTCTGAAATATTCAAAATTTGAAGCATCACGTGACCAGCCTTTACCAGGGCCTTTGCTGCTTCGCCTCCTTCCTCAATAGGCCCTGGGGACGAGGTTGAATCAGGCCTGGGTCCGGATTTCAATTCTCTGATGGAGCTTGCAAGTGTGCGCTGTTTTTAAAAATGAAATCAAAACTGTATGGTTCCGGTGACAAATGGTTCCGGTGAAAAGATAGTTGTTGTAAAATTTGAAGCTGGATGTTTTAAAAATCGAACAATGAATTGCACAAATTTGGTTTGACTAATTTGGACACAAGAAATCATTATTCGCCATCCACTGTAAACCCACCTCTAAAGAGGTTAGAACTGAAAACAATAATACAGCCATAGTAAATTCCAAGTTTCATAACATGTGGAAAAGTTTACCGATCGAATATATGTGTCATTAGCTCAGGGGTTAGAGCGCTGGTCGATCTAGTAAGCCAGGGTTGAAGAGTTCAAATCTCTGATGAAGCTGCAATTCTTATTCTTTAAAGCGAACTGGATAAAGGATTTCGTAATTTAAGTTTTCCAAAGTTTTGCACTTCCTCAGCCTCTTTGCAGTATAGCTAACTCCCAACAATTTTTGAATTTCAATTCACAAAAGAAAACAAAGAAATTTTAGAACCTCATGAGAGATTCGAACTCACCATATTCAGTTTACGAGACTACTGCATGCTCTACCCCTGAGCTAATGAGGTACAACTTTCTGCGACCGTACTTTGATTGTGAAAGATTTATTAACGCATGATTGATTGCAATCTCAACTGTTCAAAAGCACGTGCAAGAAATTTAATTTGCTGTATTATTTTTGACATCCCCGCTTATAATTTGCAATAAATTTCCTCCTATAAATCTTTTCTGCTTTTCCCCACCCCAGTCCAATGTTGACTTTTATCCCACAAATTCTGATAACGTGGGTTGCCAACTCTACGTAGAACTAATAAGAAAAAATTCCCGTAACCACAAAATCATCATTGCTCCATCTAGAATACCTAAAAATTCCGAAAAATACCAACCATGCCATTTTATAAATGATTTAAAAATATTAACCAAACTAGAAATACAATTGTATTCCATAGTCCATACACTCGCTTTGACACAAAGAGCACAATTCAAAACAATAAAAATGCAATGTTTGCATCAGAAGTTCTTATTTTATGTTCTATTCGAAATCGTGGGTTAGAATCAATAGCCGTTTTCACATTAGAAGACGGACAAGTCGTCTAGTCGAACAAATCGTCTCAAAATCGTCTTTTAGTCGGACAAATCACCAGATGTGAAAACGTGTCGGACAAAATTTTAGACGAACAAGTCGACCGAATTTGTTCGACTACTTGTCCGTCTGTGAAGACGATTTTTGACTAGAGACGATTTGTTCGTCTAGACGACTTGTCCGTCTCTAATGTGAATAGGGCTAATGAATGATTCCAGGTATAAACGAAATTTTGATCAAGACAAGAAGAAGGAAACCATTACCATAGTTGGAAAGAGCATCTTAAAAGGAGTAAAATTGCAAAGTTTGGTTGCGAATTGTTGTGAAATGAGGAAAATATAGCCCTGTGAAGTTCGCAAATTTTGTATATGCTGTATTTGCATTATACGCGTGGTAAAAATAACCATTTTTGAGCCAAAAGCGGTTATTTTACCGCGCGTAATACAAATATATACAAAATTTGCGAACTTCACAGGGCCATACAGGGTGTATCAAAATAAACGCAATTCATCTTTTGTGCTTAATAACTTTCGAAATACTATTTCTAGTTAAACGCTTTTAGGCTTACTTCAAAGCCTGTTCTTTTCTCTTTCAAACAAACTATTATCCTTGTCTCCAATGCTAGTAATAATTGCACAGGAAAAGATTTAGTAAAATCTATCATTTTTAGTTGCTGTTTAATTATGCAAGTTTACTATGTTATTGTTTAGTCGGTTTAAATGTTAGAATTTTCTTCTTTAAACTTTAATGTTGTCGTCACTACATCTGGAAAACCACGTAAGAACAAATTAAAAGTATTTTAAAAGAGACCAGGTTGTTTGAAAATCCTAAACGAATGCTAAAAATCGTCAAAACATTCTGGTGTCTGAGCCAGAGTGTCATCGAATTGCGATGTAATGTAAACAGAAATTATAGCAAGTTGATGTCAGTCAGCTTAGATGGTCCAAGCCAAAATTATATCGCATTTGAAGTTTCAAACTGAGTTAAAAATAGTGGAAGAAAAGCCGTAATTATACTTATTGTTACAATCCATTTAATAAAATGCAACATTTGTTTGTTTTAATGAAAAAATCAGTTATTTTCATGAGAACGATTTGTTATTCCATCTCAATTTTTTAATCTCCAATCGCAATAACGTAAAGTATTATTACCCGCGAACCAATGAGTCAAATTTAAGAAACAACCCACTGTTAGAAAGCTGAATGGCTACGCTTTAAAATGAATGTAAACTTTAACGTTTTCGTCTATTATTTGTTTAGCAATTTACATTTCAGTCGAGGATTGCGCTTTTTTTGATACACCCTGTATTTTAGTCTTAATTTTACGACATTTAGCAATCAAACTTTGCAGTTTACTCTAGCTGTGGTGTTGGATTTCGTTCTTCTTGCTTTGATCAAAATTTTGTCTATAGCTGGAACACCAATTAGGAAAGTTTGAAACTTCTTCACTTATAACTTTTATTTGTCCCATTTCCTAAATAAACACAAAGACCAATACTCTGACTTTGTAGTATTTACTGTATAGATCAAAGATATATATTCAGGTCAACGAAAATCAATTTACATTCACTTGATCACAAAGTAGGATATTTTCGTTTGTATTTTAGCCGGCGAGCAGTAATTTGACGACTTCGTTGTTTGTATAAATGGTCTCGCATTCTGGCATTCTTCATGTATCTTTTTGTTTCTGGGGGGGGGGCTAGCTTCCCCCACTTTTACTTCTGCCCCCCCCCTCCTAGCCCCCCTACCCACCGGGCACACGACGTTGTTTCAACGTTGAAATTTGGTAGAAAAAAGGTTGCGACGTCGACAACCTAATATCTACGTTACTCTGACGTTGTTTTACAAACATTGGTTCACAGCAGCCAACAGACGTTGAATTAACGTTCATTCATGGTTAATGTACGACGTCGATTTGTGAACCAATCTCAACGTTGTTTTAACGTGGATTCAACGTTGAATTATGGTTGACGATATTGGCAACATAATTTCAACGTTGTTTCAACGTTGAAACAGTAACGTCGATCCAATTTGCATAGTCAACCCTTTTTCAACGTCTATCCAACGTCTGGAAGGTCATTTCCAACGTTGATTCAACGTTGGATAAACGTCATTTTGCCCGCTGGGTAGCCCCCCTCTCTTGTTCCGCCGCCACTGAAACTGTACGGTTGCGGTGACAAATTTGTTTTCCGTGAAAAGATAGTCGTTGGCTCGTTGCAAAATTTGAAGCTGGATGTTTCTATTAAAAAAATCAAGCATTGAGAATTCTGGAATTTAGTTATCTTGCAACGGACTGTAAGAGTTTGCTTTAAGTAATTTGGACACAAGAAATCATTATCCAGCCAGCTCCACTGTGAAAACCACCACCATACATCCATCGAAAATTAAAAGTGTTCGTAACATGTGGAAATGGTTTACCGAACGAATATGCCTCATTAGCTCAGGGGTTAGAGCACTGGTCTAGTAAACCAGGGGTCCAGAGTTCAAATCTCTGATGAGGCTACAATTCTAATTTTTAAAGCGAACTGGATAAAGGATTTTGCACTTCTTCAGCCTCAGTGCAGAATAGCTAACTCCCAACAATTTTTCAAATTTTAATTCACTAATGAAAACAAAGAAATTGATAGAGCCTCATGAGAGATTCGAACTCACGACCTTCAGTTTACGAGACTACTGCTCTACCCATGAGCTAATGAAGCACAACTTTCTGCAACCATACTTTGATTTAGTCCGTGTGTTGTGACCCGATATCGTTCACTTTCATTAAGCATGTCACATGAGTTAGATCTGAAATATTTTGACTGGAACTAACACTTTCAAGCACGCTGATCACAAATCCGAAAAGTTCCCACTCCGTAGACCGGCAGTTTTCTCACAAAATCCTATTTTATCTTCAATAATTTCACGACAAATTTTTCATTGTTCAACGACAAGGAGCGATGACGATACACGATTATATCACTCAAAAGAACCAATTTCTATCAACCATTCTTCCTTTTAACAAAAGATCGGTTTTGCTCGAATCATTTTGAGTTATGCAATCTTATGCGTGTTGGACGTAAACAGCATATCTTGTCTACAACTTTGAGAAAGTACAGATACCACCACCACCACCACCACCACCACCGCCACCGCCACCGACACCGCCACCGCCACCGCCACCGCCACCGCCACCGCCACCACCACCACCACCACCACCACGACCACCATCACCACCACCACCACCACCACCATCACCACCACCACCACCACCTGAAAGCGAGGGCCGAAAGCCCGAGGGAATTTTTAAATTTACAGTCTCTGAAATGCCATTTCTTGGATTTGGGGGAAGATTTGACAGAACACTGATGGTCAGAAAACAGCGTTTTAGTATGTCGAAATTTACAATTTAGTAGTTGAAGTAGTACTAAATGGGCGAAGGCGTATTTAATTAACTATATACTGGATAAGTTGCAAGAATGTATGGGTAATATCTTCATTCTTTGCAGTTTGTCATGGATAATGTAGCCGCTTAAAATGAATGAATTGTCACTATTTTAAAGGTATATTATTTAAATGATAAAGGTCAGCATGATCAGTTTGGAAAAAGAGTGATTATTAATTAAAATAGGACTTGACGCGGTTAACCGACAAACTCCTTACTAAATTAATTAAACCATGTATAAATTTATTAAGTACCTAGTATAAACTAGTGTATAGACATTGCCCTTTACGTAATGTTTCTACATCGCTTACTCGTTATCGTCACTGTCTTTTTTATTAAAATGTACATCAGGGAGACATGACAAAAATTTATGGCAAGTTTATGGCAAAAGTTATAAGGTAGATTGCAACCTCGTCCCCAGGGTCTTCTTCGTACATGGCGCGTGAAAAATGAGAAGACCCTGGTAAAGGCTGCGAAAATCTCCACGATTCATGGACATTTTAGTGCATGCGCGAAAGCGAATTTGCCTTGGCGCTGACCAATTCATTGCTGGCGTACAAATTTTTCATGGCCTTGAGATGAAATATTTCAGTTTGGAAATGTATTTTTTTGCTAAAATATACCTTTAGATAAGTAATTTCTCTTCAAAAATAAAGATGTCTAGAGAGAGAAAATAACAAGAAGCTAGCACGTCTAATTTTTTTTATCTTCCTGGCCGAAGAATCCGCGTTGTTTGTGATGTCTCACGGCTGCTTGCACTGGCAGTCTGACAGCACTGTCACTGTGAAGGTAATTGAAAAATTACAATATATTATTTTTATTCATATTATAATTCAACAATAATGGCCCTATGACTGGTGCTAATATGCCTACAAAGTATTTTTTTAAAGCGCTTAGTTTTGAGAAATTATAATTTGATATAAATGAAAATTTACTAGTGGGCCATCCATAGACTCATCACTAATCCATTTTACACTGTGAACGTTGCACTTGTTCAAGTTATTTTGACTAAAAGTTATCGCATGTTAATAAATACTCTAGTATATAATAATACTGTAACTTATAGTTTATTCCCTTGGAGCATGCAAAGTGCTTACATGTGGAATAATTTGCCTTAGATCCACAGCTCTCACATAGGAGATTAGAACTCCCATAATTCCTTTTACACATCCTAGTACATTTTACTATTCTAAAAGTGCATTTCCCCATCCCTTTTCAGACAGCAGAAATTTCATTTGTATTGCAAGTTTATATTGTGCACTGAATGGTGAATCAGTAAAACTAAAAGATTGCCAACCAGTTTAGAGATAGTTTTGTTCAAATGTAACTTATGTCATAAGTATGTTTCTCCCTCAATTAGAATAAATCTACTGTTAATAAATTAATTGGATAGATTTAGTGTAACATATAGATTTAGGTTTCCAGTTTGTGAAATGAAATGCAAATCAATTGTATTATATTTTAGATACTCATGCTTCTCAAACATCAATACGGATAAAACAAGGACTGTCAAGAAGACTGCAACTGTATATGTACAACTTAATGGGGATGGGAGTTGGTCTTCACATATAGGAATGTTGATAATATTAATGAGATTATTAAGAAAACCACAAAGTCAACAACTATCCTAGATTCCATAATATTAGGAAGCTGGCTCAACTATACTTAATATTCTGGTAATACTCAAGAAAGTGACATGGCAATTCAACAATGCATATACAACAGAAAGAGATATTTCCATACCAAGACAATTCTTACTGAATTAGTATTTAGCTGATATTTCATTTTTTACAGTATTTAAAGTTATATACAGTGCTGTTTTAAGTTAAATAACAAAGTTACTTGGTTCAAAATCTGGTCTTTGTTTTTCCTTCTCTGTACTATGCAAGGGTAGAGAAAAGAGGTGGTAATATGCATCCTCACATGCGGCTGTAGGAACTCTCACTCATATGGAAAATGAATTGGATCGTTCCAGAAAAGATCCATACTCCCCCCATGGAGGAAATTTCTGCCGTCCGGAGGGGGAGGGGAGAAAAAATTGTTTCTGATAATAGTAAATGTATTAGGACATCCAAAGGGGGTTAACTTCCTATTTCCTCTGTGGGGGTGGTATGGATGTTTTCTGGAATGACCTATTCTCAGTCATTTCAAAAAGTAAGCCTTGGAGCTTTTTGGAAATCGATTTCATTCATGCTTCAACAACCGATCTCCTGCATGTACATCATTGCAAAATGTGCAGCCAGCCTGCAATGTCCAAACCACAGTTCTCCACAATATTTGTTCTCATTGAGCTGTCCATTGATGAGGAAGTGTAGTGTGGAGACAAACAATTTTGATTTGGCTGCATTTATTTGAACACTTGCTTTATTATACCTCCCTCACTGATTCAATAGTTGCTAATGTAAATTTGTACTAGCTCTGCAGGACAGATGTGTTCAATTTTTCCTATACGGTATGGAATAAAGATCATGCTGTTAGTGTTACATGCATGCAAATGGTAATTCACAATGATGTAAAGGCTAATGAAATTCAATTATGGGTTGTCCATAACTACCAACATTTCCTGAAGTGTAGAAACTATATGCTTCAGGTAGGCAGGTTCATAACCACTATATGCTTTTTAAATGTTGAACTATAGACCCACCATCATTGGTTAAGTCGCTGTGGGAGGGGGTTGAAAAGTGTACTCTCTGTACACCTGTGATAATTATGGATGATTTACAGTGTAACACTAATGCTAGATTTAACTGAAAATAATTTTATAGTTATGTTGAATATATTTGAAATGTTCCATTTGTGGAGGTCAGTGGCATATATTCTTGTGGAAAATTCAAATAGCTGTGCTCCAGCAGCTAGCTCACTAGCTGCAGTGCCACAAATTATTGACATAACCAAAATTTTAATATTGCATGGGATCTTTATAGATTCGCTTTTATATATTTCCTGGTGTCCTATGAGCCCAGCAAGAACTGCTTACTTTATTATTATAATTTAAACATGTAACAATTAAGCTATACAAACAGCAATCGTTCTGTGCGTCTATTTCTGCTATAAAAATGCATATTCAGCTGAGACTGATATTAAACTGTCACTTGAAGCAGACAAGAGGTGTTCGTATTAAACAAGTGGTAGTATTTGAGAGAAACTAGAACGTCACAAACGCAAGTGGTTCTGTGGTTTGTTTGATCATACAGTGTGTGTGTATATTTCATACCTTCGATAACGATGTGAACATCAGCTGTCTCAACTTTGAAGTACCAAAATGATGTCTATATTTATTCACACTACGATGTCCATTATATATTGTGCTTGATATTAGGCTGAAAGTTGGAAAATATTTGCCAGAAACAAGCTTCGCGCCTTGGCGAAGCATGCATTTTACTCTAAAGCAAATTATTGTTGTGAAAATCCTTATAAATCATGCAACCAATCGTAGCGCTCATTACAAGAAGTATTTAGCGGTAAACCAATCATATTCATTGTAACAACATCCTCAAAGCACATGTCAAGGTCAAATGTATAAACCAATCACAACGGAGTTTAGAAGAGCCTTTACCAGGGTCTTCTCATTTTTCACGCGCCATGTACGAAGAAGACCCTGGGGACGAGGTTGGGTAGATTGTTGCGTTTGAAAGCGAGAGCCGCTAGAGGACTGGGGCGAAATAAACGAAAACAAAGATGGCGGCCAGCACGAAGTGAAATTAAAGTAAAGAAACAAATTATTTAAATGTTATTGTTGAAGAAAGATTAGAAACGATGGACGTAGTCGGACAAATGTACGTTTACCTAATTTTCGCCATTTTGAACTTTATTTCTTAGATCTATATCGTAAACATTGTCATATTTGTATTTTGTAGCTTCAGATTATCTGGTATCACATTTATGTATTATTAGATTGATCAAAATCCTGAAATGTTGCGTTCGTCGTCGTGTCTAATCTTGAACTAAGGAAACATAGATGTTCGATTGTTTTTCATATTAGCTGCGCGCATTGCATTTTAGGCATTTGTGCATTGCATTTTGGGTTTATCTGTTGATTAAAATTGAGAATTTTGCCAGCCACATAAATTAAATTTGCTGCCTTGCTCGCTCCCTGCGCGCAGTAGCAATTATCGTTACGTGCCCACCCCCGATCATAAATAATGAATGGCCCTTAATGGGAAGTTTTTTGGCTATGTCACTGGCCTGAAAAATAACACTTTTAACGCGATCAAGGTATGTAAAACAAAAGCAACACGCCGGAAGCCAACGTAACGGCAAAGACAACGCTAAAATGAAATATTGTCGATTGGTTGTTCGTAGAACACTTACGACAGGATAAATCTTAAATAACCATAAACTAGAAGAATAAATGTTCACATCAAAGACAAAGATCAGTCCTAGACGGCCGGCCAAAGTCATCAATTTGTACAACTGGATGGCAACTTTATGTTAGAAGCTGGTAACAGGCATTTTCCTATAGTTCAAGCCTTGGTGAACAAGACTATATGTGATATTTGTGGTGTTACTCTGAGTGTATATCCACACCGGGCGAGCTTGAAAAATATGCCCGGCCACGGTGGGATTCGAATCTACGACCTTTGGATACTAGCCCAATGCTCTTCCAACTGAGCTACGCGGTCAGGACGGTTCGAGTAAGTGATATTTCGGAACAGAATCTAGTTCCTTCGATACCAATGTATTCTAGTAATATGAATTTTTTTTCTGTGTTGGTGTAGTGTACTCAGGTGAATATGATATTTGTGGTGTTACTCTGAGTGTATATCCACACCGGGCGAGCTTGAAAAATATGCCCGGCCACGGTGGGATTCCAACCTACGACCTTTGGATACTAGCCCAATGCTCTTCCAACTGAGCTACGCGGTCAGGACGGTTCGAGTAAGTGATATTTCGGAACAGAATCTAGTTCCTTCGATACCAATGTATTCTAGTAATATGAATTTTTTTTCTGTGTTGGTGTAGTGTACCCAGGTGAATATGATATTTGTGGTGTTACTCTGAGTGTATATCCACACCGGGCGAGCTTGAAAAATATGCCCGGCCACGGTGGGATTCGAACCTACGACCTTTGGATACTAGAATCGAACCGTCCTGACCGCGTAGCTCAGTTGGAAGAGCATTGGGCTAGTATCCAAAGGTCGCCCGGTGTGGATATACACCCTGATATACACTCAGAGTAACACCACAAATATCATATTCACCTGAGTACACTACACCAACACAGAAAAAAAAGACTATATGTGTCACCACTTCTGATTTTTGCTTTATAGCCAAAAATTTGAGAATTTTTAAATTTTGCCTATTAAATTACTATATATGATCGGAAAAAATGTAAAATTTCATGTTCTCTTATATGAAAAATAAACTATACCACTAGAAAGAGCGTAAAAAACTATATATAACTTTAAGACAATTAAGTGAGTTCTACGTTTTTCCAATCCTATTTCGAGTTTTTAATGTTAAAAATGCAGAAATGACCAAATTAATGCTAATTAGGACCCATTTTGCCAGCTTTAACCATCTTTAATTCAAAATCGGCTTGAAAATCGCACTAGTCGCTTCATTATCTTTTATATAGTTTTTTGCGATCTTTCTAGTGGTATAGTTTATTTTTTGTATAAGAGAACATGAAATTTTACATTTTTTGCCATCATAGTAATTTAAAATTATTTGCCATCATAGTAGTTTAAAATTCTCAATTTTTTGGCTATAAAGCAAAAATCAGAAGTGGTAACACACACAGTCTTATTCACCAAGGCTTGAACTATAAGAAAATGCCTGTTACCAGCTTCTAACATAAAGTTGCCATCAAAATCTCTTTAGAGGCACTTTTTGCCACCTTGGCCGGCCGACTATCCCAAAGTATATAAAAATATGCTCTGTAAACTTACGACGATGTGGAGAAACCTGTGCATGAGCTGTTTATTTGGTCATTTCAACGGCTATGGAAGCCCTCTTTCCAATAATATTCGCTTATTGCACAGTATATATAACACCAACTGATGTAATAGTTCAAATGCAATGATAAATTATCTCTTGAATTACATCTCAGAAACTGTGTTGGAAATTTAAATGCTGATCCATTACATATAGATTACCGGCCGTTTTATATCGTTGTCAGGGGCGCCGGAGCCACGGGGGCAGCGGGGGCAACTGCCCCCGTTGCCCAAACAGTGCGGGGGCAGCACGGGGGCAACAGGTTGCCCTATTTTTAAGCAAAGTTTAAGGAATCTTTGCATAAATTTTAACCAGTTGTAGTAAAATTAATGCTAAATCGGGCAATATACATCCGTACTCAATTTAAACCAGCCAATGGCTGTTTGAACGATCATATCAAACTTAGTGTTAATAAAAAGTCTACTCATATTTCGCGTGTCATATTTCCAACTTTTGCATACAAATTTGCCGCAAAATTTGATGTTTTTTCGTATGCGCTTCTTGTACTCTTACATTCGTGTTTAGGTAGCTCCAGTAATGGAAAGTATATGTTGTGGGGCATATTTTGAATGCACTTTCGTTTGAAAATAATTCTTATTTCGAAGGGCACTTTTTAAATATGCGCGAATTGTCAAGATCTATACAGAAGAAACGAGCCGCGCGCGCGGCTGTCGAAGAAAACTGGCTCTAGAACGTCCTGCGCAGGTCTATGCCTTAAGGTAGCGCCAGATTTTAAATTTTCGTAGAATTCTTCGTATTTTGATAGAGGGCAAGACATTGAAATGAATAGGCTGCAGCCGATGATATAGAAGGGGAATTTCTGACTCAGAGTCAATCTCGTTGCCTTGTGCACTAATGTATCAGTCAAATCCAAGCGTGCCCATCCCCCCCCCGGGCAAACCCCCGGGCTTTTGACAATTTTTGAAAATATGCAACAAATTCCCGGGGGCGGGAATAAAAAACACGTGAAAATTCCCGGCAGTAGGGCAAAAAATCAGTAGCAAATCCGCCACCCCGGGGACAGCTGGACTGTTTCGCTAAGAAGAGCAGATTATCCAATTACCTGAAAATATAAAAGAGAATACTTTCTTCGATCGGCCAAGTATATCGCCCAAGGCTACCAAGCATTGTGCGTCATACTCTAGCGCGTTTTCGTCATGCTCTAGCGCATTTATTTTTAAAGTTTGGCGTGGTTCGAATTTTAGCGTTTTATATTTGACAACTTGACTGGTTTTATACATCATGGTATTTTGGGCACGTATAAAGTAATCCAAAGAGTTTCAAATTCCCCGTCCCGGGCAAAGGTTTGAGTTCAAATGCCCAAACCCCGGGACGTGCTTTATAGGAAAATGCCCCGGGGTAGCCCGGGGGGGGGGATGGGCACGCTTGGATTTGACTGATGCATAAATAAGCAAGTGAGTTTGTAGATTTTATTTATTTTTTTTATTTATGTATTCGTTTGTACAGTAGTCTTTATTAATTGAGGTTTTGGGAAATTCTGTTTGTTTATGAGTATCTTTCTGATTTATATAACCGTGCAGTTTCTTGATTTACAAATTGTCAACAGAGTACAAGCGACAAGAAGGTCAAACGTATGCGTCTTAGTTAGCTATTATTGTCAATAACATCCTTTTGAAGAGTGGCATACGAGGTGTTACGCTTAGCAGACGCTTAGTTCAAGCATTCAAGACAAAGATCATTTCTCTTCACGCTGCTTTCAAACGTGCTAAAGGTGGAAACCCAGTCCGAAATGGCTTTTAAATACATGGCAGAACTCGTCATGCAGTGTAACTACATACTATAATGAACTTGAAACGGATAAGCTGGATTTGTTAAGATTATTATCCTTTGCGGACTTTTTGGAGCATTTGGACGAAGGCCTAGGAGTGTAGTCACTGTACTCTTCGGCAAAACGTATAAGTTCGCTTAGGTCGATTTTGCGCCATCTTGTTTACATATATTAAGTGTCATTTGCGCGTCATTCACTGTGCGCGGGGCACCGGACACAAGTTGACTCAAATGTTCGTCGTAGTATTACGAAAGTTTGAAATGACCTGATATTAAATATTGTTATCATCATTGTCATCAACGAATAAAATTGTTCAAAATTAATGTCGAAGTTTGCAGACCCATAATAGTCACAAGTAATCGAGTATCCATACAGTAAAGTTTTAACAAATATTGCCGTCCAGAAAAAATGATGGCTGAGAAGCAATTGCCCTTTTGAATTGGCTGCCCCCGCCGCTTCATATTGCTTCCGGCGCCCCTGATCGTTGTATAAAACATTTTGATCGCATGTAAGCAATTATTTCTCAGCCCAGAGACATAGCCCAAAGGCCAAAGACTTAACATTAACGTGCTTGTAATTTTAAAGAGATAGATCCAGAAGGATCGATATTTGAAGGAATTATTTGTACCTTCTCAAAGTTGTAGACAAGATATGTTGTTTACGTCCAACACG